ATGAAAATAGGATTGAAAAATCTATGACATTCAATACATCTTCTTCATAAAGTGTTAATGGCATTTCATCAAAAAGTGATCAATGGCTCAGCACTCCTCCAAGTACATTCACTTTGTCAGGAGACATCTGCCCTTCTCATGGTTACAGCCACCCTCTGGGAATTTAACGATTGTGTTGTGAGTGTACAGGTCACAGATCAGTAATGAATTTATGAAATAAAACTGCAATTGATATCTCTGTTAAAATCTGTGTGCTGTCAAACAGGACATTTGGAGAATCTCTCAGCAGTCTGAAATCATCCATGGCTGCATCATGTCATGCACAGAACTGTTCATACATCTGGGAAGAACACAGCCACGTGAAAATCCAAACGTGGCACAACTTTAGGTTTTGACAGGATTCTCTCACAGTCCTTAAATTATTATTAAAAGAACAGATCTGTAATGGGTTGTATTTCATTTCATTTCATTGAGGCAGATGTTACATGGGGTGGAGAAAGTAAGCCCAGAACAGAAACGCCAAGGCAACAGGACAAAAGGGCACAGGTTCACAGCTGCAAAGGACAATTTCGGACAGACTCCAGACAGCAGTTCTTCACATAGAGGATGATCAACAACTGGAACAAATTATAATACTAATAATCCTTGCATCTGATATAGCGCCTTATTATGTGGTCAAGACGTCTCAAAACGCTTCACAAAATATACTGTAAAGTGGATTGACTGCATACTTTGTGGGCGAAACACAACAGCCAGGTGCATACAACAATGCCCCACAAACAGACCAATTTTATTTGGAGGACTGTTGGCCAAGACACCGGCAGAAACTCCCTTCTCATTTCGAACAAGCCATGGGATCTTTAACTATCAAGAAAGTGGCTGAGGCCAAGACACTCATTCATGCTGTAATGGAAAGAGTGCAGCTTCTAGTCTGGTTCATGCAAGTCTCTGCTGTGAACAAGTACAAGTCATAATCTTGTGCAGTAAAATTAACTTCTCTGAGTCTAAGTGAATATCACATACATGGACACAATACACTACAGTGATTGTGATTGGTTTGAGCTGTTGAATGGAGCTGTGAAGTCTGTGACATTTACAAGAGCAATAGTCGAATCCAGATGTTCCTCCAGTACAATCCACAAGCAGAGTAGACGGCATAGTCTCAGTCATCAGTCCCAGCTGACGGTTTGGTTCTCGAACAACTGATATTTTTATGCTGTTCACGTTTAGCACCGGTTCACTGGAGTTCAACAACAAGAGTGATGAAAGAAGCAGAAGATAGTGAAGTGTGATGAACGTGTGACACTTCTCATTTTATATTTCAATTCTCTGCTTTATGTTAATTCTCATGTACCCCAAAACAAGAACCTGTTAAAGAAGCAGGGAAATGAAAGAGAACCAGAGAAGCAATAAACATTAAAGTCGTATTTAATGGGAGTCCATTTGGTAGAGCGGTTCCATTTCTGATACAGGCAATGCTGCATATGAATTTTCTTGAAGCCTGGCTAATAATGAGGTCTAATTCATGATGTTTGGTATCAGATTTCCTAATAATAATTAGGGGGCAGAAAGGCTGAAGGCTCAACCGTCGATGGTGGGGCAGGCTGGGCGGAGTACACGGAACAGGCCAGATCTCGCTGAGTGGAGGGAGTGGACAGGTCTGTATGGACTTATAGGATGGTATTTATCTGAAGCGAACATATGAACATGTTGTGTAACAGGACACAATTTTACATTCTCCCAATTCACTTTCCAACAATTAAAGATGCTTTTAAGTTCTCCCAATGCTGGCATGAGTAAACGCTGCCTGATGCAATAATCAGGCAGGCCGGCTGTGAGGTTCAAATCCTGATCTCCAAAATGTTTTTCCGAATTGCAGCTTCTTAAAAGGAGAAATGGATAATGCACCTCACTTGTTGAAAGTAATGATCTTTTCACTGCTTGTCTATAATGGAAAATCTCGGCATCAAGAAGTAACAAAAAGATCACTATTTTTAGCTGTTACCTCGGGACCCTGTTGAATATTTTTTCCGAATGCAAATCATTCAGGCCTGTTGCTGGAGCACTGCATCAGTAATATCTGAGGAAATTCGACTCCATGGGGTCTAAACCCGGGTTTTTTAATGGGATGTTTTAAAATAAGGAACTGAAGTCCCATCTGCCTGTTCAGGTGCACATTATAGATCGCATAACATTATTTGAAGGAGAAGGGAATTCCTCCTGGTGTTCAAAACCCCCCAAAAATCGTCATTCACTTCATAACTGCTTGTGGAACATTGCTGTGCACAAATTGGCTGCCACGTTCAACTACAAATACTCTTGACAGTAAAATCCTTGGAAGTGTTTTGAGATGTTTGTCTGAAGCAAACGTAAAAGGCCAGTACAGTAATATAACATTACGCAAATCTCTAGAGTAAGATGTTCACTCACGTTCAGAACTTACACAAGGAATGGTATTTAGCCATAGTAGATCTGATGACCCCATCAAATGATTGTAACTTTCTTTTTGTATTCGGTCCATGCACACACAACTTGTAATCATCCTAAAGTGTGTTCTGACACGCTGGACTTGCAAAAAATTACAAGCATAGAATCTACAGTGACAAAACAAGTCATTCAGCCCAACTAGTCCACGCTGGTGTTTAAACTCCACCCATCCCAATTCCTACTCCTGAACTCTCTTTTAGATCTGTTCGACTTTATGACTTTTGAATACTTGCTGCAGTTTACCGACGACACCCAAGGTGAAGCGTGGAATCCTAAAACTAAATTCAAACCTTCAGTTAGTAACCAAAGAGCAAACTAGTAACCCATCGTAATCTGCTTCTGTTGGGAGGTTTGTGCAAGAGTGTGAGAGGAGGATAAATTGAGTGACAGATGGAGAAGGTAAACGTGAGTAGCTTTAATGTAAACTAATGTGCAATTTGTCCAGTTTGTTTTCTACAGGGAAGCTTCATCCAGATGTTTTCACACTCTGGCTGACTCTTTGTCCCTTTATCATACAGATTGACATCTAATTTGCGAGATTTAATAATTGATTTGTAACAAGCAAATCTTTTAGTCCACAATCCAGCTGCACTAAGGTGGGAACTGAAAGTGGTGTGGAAGTTCAGGTGGGTCGGCCTCCGATACATCCAGGTATCTGTAGGATTCATAACTCACAAATCGCTTTGCGCCTTTCTCACATTAACCCCATTGTCATTAATGCTCTGCCACGTGCATGAATAAAATCAAGAAAGATCTGTGTCTCTGATTTCCAACTCCATAAACAAAAAGGCTCGAGGAAGGGACTCATCTGCGATTCATGAATGAGGTAAATGGACCTTGGCTGAATATAATTGGGAACTCAGGCTGGGCCATTGGGGGAGCTTACCACACACAGACACACCCAGTACTTCTTTATAAACCATGGCAACACTTCAGTACTTGGATGCCTATGATAATTTGCTCACATTGTCACCACCACAGAAGCAGCGCAATTTCGCCCACAAAATATACTCAATTCACTTTACAACATATTCTGTGAAACACTTTGCAACGTCTCAAAAACGTGATAAGGCGCTATTATACTTATTATTAAATTACAAGTTGGAATATATTTGGTAACATAAAATAATTATCATAATAATAAATAACAATAATCCTGAGTAAGACATTTGATATAGAACCTTTTATGTCAGGAGGATATCTCAAAGCATGCCACAGGATACACTGTAATGTGTATTGATTGTGTATTTTGTAGGCGAGCAAAGCAGCTCAGGAGTGTTAATCTTTAGAAAATTAAATATATGTAAAATAAAGAAAAAAACTAAGGAATGGCACCACAGGGGATATTCCCCACCAAAAGGCAGGGAAGTGCAAATAAAAGAGTTGTCTTAGACTTATGAAAGGCCTATTTCTATTTGAAAGTGTTCCCTATTCAAAACAGGAGCTTATGGATATCTATAAAATGATGGCTTCATCTAATGGACTGTGCTAGGCATACAGCAGACCTCTGGCTGTGAAACCTTTGTGCTGCTACTTTACATATTCTGGCAGCTCGTCCTGCAATCAGAATACATTACCTCTTACTCCTCCAACACTTGCAAAACTTTACCGGTCATAGGTGCTGTCACAACACTCACCACATTGCAGTCACTACACTTTAAAGTAAATTCCGTGAAGCGCTTTGAGATGTCCTCCCAACAAGAAAGGCACAGTATGAAATGTAAGCATTATTAGTATAATAAAGTTTTTTTTAAAGGTTACAGTTAAACTTATATTAACTTATACTAAATAAACTGTTTTTTTAACAGGTAAAGGGTTTCTAACACCGCAGATTTGTTAAAGAGAATGCATCTCGACGGAATCAGTTCATTCAGATCACATTTTTAAGTTCAGTGCAACAATGTTCAGTGCCAAGTGAGTGTTGCCACCTTTTCCGTCAGCTGTTGAGCCCCAGCCACCCCAGCCCAGTTTCAGACAGCTGTAAGTCAGTCTGCAGGTCTCTCAGCTAATTTGTTTTGCCCAGACTTCCTCAGTTTTTTTGCTGCTGGTTAATAGGTCTCCTTATCAAAGTGGCCAATTTAAGCAGGATGTGGGCTAGGCTTCCAGCCAGCATTGCGGCGGGAGAGCAGGGGCTGGGACAAGGCAGCACAGCCAGTGCCAACGGCCTCTTTAAACCCATGTCACGCTTGTGTGACAACTGCTCCTCTGTGCTTGTTTGAACTGTCCCTCCCAATTAGTGGTAATAAGTGAATCTGTAAGGATGAGCAAACACTGTGTATTCGTCCCCCCAACCCACTAAATTCCCAAGAGTATAACCCTGCTAATAGACGGAGGAAGCCAACTGCATCTTGTCCTCTGCAAACAAGTGCAGGCAAAGAGGCAAATTAATGACAAGTCATTTGAAGAGTTTGGTGGAAATTATGTTACGCTGTCTATCCACTGTAGAATTGATTAGGTTGTGTGCGATCAAAGTGGCTGAATCAATAAGCCAAAGGAAAGAGCAGACGAGGCATGCTCCAACCCAATTTATTCACTGCACCTTTTCAAAAATAGGATACAATTTGCAGAATACAAATTGCTGCTGTACGGCTAGGCCTGTTTTGTGCGACTACTAATGACCAGCTCCGGGAAGCCTGTACGATCATCCATCTCTCTGGTGAATTCGAAGCTGCAGCATTCACCAATGACTATTTCAGCTGTAGTGAACACTTCCAAGTTGCCCAAGACATGACCGCCGACAGTGTGGCCCTCCATGTCAGCCAGGTTTATGTGCAAGTGTGCATCTTCATTCAGCGTCCCGACCAGTGACACTATTTCATAATTTCCCTTCAGCTCTATGATCTGATAAAGAGACACGTTGCACACCAGTTAAAAGCAAAGCAACAACAACAAGAACAACAAATTACATTTGTATAGCGTCTTTCACGTCGGGAGGACGTTCCAAGCAAAGCAACTGAGTGGTGGGGCTCTGACTTAATTCACGTTGTCACTGCTAACGGTTGCAAAACTAACAACTGTCAGCAGGGAACACAGATGAACAAGATCTTGATTTCCCTCACATTTTCCCACCCAATCAACAGCAACTTGCATTTATATAGTGCCCTTCGTGCGGCGTACTATCCCGGAGCGCTTGACAGTGGCAGCATCTGACAACGAGCCAGGAGGAGAGGGTGGGGCAACTGTAAGAACAATCAAAAAGGAAGGTTTTTAGGCCGTATTTGAACGTGGGGGAGAGGGGGCAAGGTGGAGGGATTGAGTGAGAGAGTTTCAGAGTTTCGAGGCATAGTGGCAGAAAGCACGGTCACCGTTGGCGGAGCGGAGGGGATGAGTGACAAACAGGAGGCCAGAGCCATCCTGGATATGTCTGAAGCCTTCCTCATAGTTCTGTCTAATGCTGACATCTTCATGCAGTTCTAACTAACTTAGATAACCTTCCTCCCAGCTTGACCATGTTTGCCCCATTTCCCCCTCCCCAGCCTTCCCCCCAGCTGAGTCAGAATGGATGCTCCCCACTGGCTGAATCTAAAGCTGTGCTCCTTTTTATCAAACATACTCTCACATAATGATGTACCCAAAGGAAAAATTCCTCATGAAATTAACTGTTCACAAACGAATGCAATGTAGCTATAACAACAACAACTTGCACTTATATAGCGCCCTCCACGCAAGATACTTAACAATGACGGAGTCAGTAGCTAATGCCTATCAACTAATTAAGGGGATTTTGCAGCACATGTACAACACTGATTATATTCTGTAACATTCCTTTAAACATATCAATTATGAGGCCAGCATACAACAATAATCAGGACACATTCAGTGATTTAAACTGTTTTAACACCAGATTGAAGGCAGATCCACAAACAGCCATGTGGGAAAGCCAAGTGAGAGTGAGGGAACCATCATCTTGTGACGTATTTAATTTTATTTGCTGAAGAGATCAATATTGGGAGCCCAGGAGCACCACCCCTAACTATAGTATTGACCTACTTCATTTTTTTGACCATTTTGCTGAGGTCCAAGCCTAGGTGACATAAAGTAGACAAATTATGAGCTACAAACATCATGTCAATATCCACTGAGAGAAGCTCAATGCGCACTGCATGTTTAGTAAGAGGTGCTGTGCACATTTCACATGAAGGCTTTTTCTCTTCCCCACGTGGCAATATCCAGACTAGAACATTTACACAAGGGGGTTTTGTATCGGGAAAAAGGGGGAAAAAAATTGTAGCAGAAGATGTTGTATGTTGTGCTTGTTTTGGATTTCTGCTGTACCAAATATTATATTTATAAATAAATATATATTTTCAAAAAAAGTTCCCATACTCTGTTGCTCTGGCAATTTGCCCCCCACCCCCAAATCAGGCTGTCCATTCCAATCTACTAATAAACATTTTTTTCTTGAACGTGACCATTAAAAGACAAGCAAAAGTGAATTGCAGGCCAAAGCCCATCCCCCAGAGTTAGCATAAAGCTTCTGATGCACTTACAGCCTGTTTGTTTGGTTCAGGTCATGATCTGACACCCTGATAGTAGTTCTATCTAACCATCTAACTGCTCCAGGTATTTGGAGAGACATGTGTGTTGGTGCTAGTCTGAACAAGCTAAGTATCTGTAATAGATGACCTCTCTGCCTTTATAAAGTGCTATGGAGATGCCATTTTTTTTAAAAAATGAGAAAATCTTCACCCTTAATATTCGGAACAAACAAAAATATGCAAAAGGAGATACAGGTCGGGCCTCTCTTTGTTCATGTTATATAAACTGCTTTAAAACTAAAGACTACCAACCCACGCAAAGCCATGGTTATCCAACAAATTCAGAATCGTATTCAATACTTAAACCAAGGTCAACTACTGTGGTAACAAGTTACACATAAAATAGCATAATTATGCACAACATGTTCTGCAATCTGGATATTCAGCTTCACTGCTTTTTCCCGATGCAAAAAGAAACCTAATTTCTTTGTGAAATGTCTCCTTTTATTACCTTTATAAACCTATCTTCGGGTTTTAAAAAACACAGCTTTAATAGGCTGTTTGATTTCTCCCTCTAACTAAATTTTGCTGTGTGCAATTTTTTCTCAGATTCCCCATTCGAACATAGATTTAAAGTTGAATTCTACATGCATGAGTTTCATAGAAAGCTCAATGTTTAAAGTATTTTGTGCAACTTAACTCTAAGATGCTGCTTTCCATTCACTGTGAAATGAACCATCAAAGGATTCCAGTTAAAAAAAATGCTGTCTTTAACACTGGGAGTCAAAATAAAAGTTAAGGCCATCCAATATAATGGAATTCAGTTTTGAAGTCAGGTTTATATCTCTGGGAAGGTGCTTCGTGTTTTCTTTGTTCAAATTTGCAGTTTACTTTATTAGCATCATACTGCCGCTCTTACTAAACTTTTTGTTAATGTTCACTGCAGCTGAGCAGAGCATAAATTTGTTTACTAAATGATGTTGCTGTGCTGGAGATTACCATGCTCATACGTTGCTGCAAGGATTAAAATGGGACATGTTTTGTTTTTTAAAGGTGTTGCTTAAGATTAGACACTCAGCAAAGAAACATTATCTGAAAACATTCAGTTTATCTCCAGCCAGCTTTTGACACCCCAGGCACAACAATCACCAACACCAGCAACAGTCTTGCCAGGACCTGATTAGTATTCGTAGCAATGGCATTTGCCAGTCTGAGTGTTGCCTTAGTAACGCTGCCCACACAAGTAATGATAAATGCAGCTTTTAGCTTCTTATCCTGCACAAATTTTATCAAAGAGGTTAAGATTTCTTCTCCAGGACTCAAACGCACTGCGTAGACTGAAAGGGTACTGGCTCCAGCCTACAAGAGAAAAAAAACAAGTTGTAAACAATTGGAAAATGGGCTTGAGTTTTAATATGGTTGTCACAGTCTTCATGTACAAAATACATTACTCGCTTTCATTCTAACATGCTCTGGTATGCCATGGCATCTGATACAAATGCACATTGTTTACGACTCCCTTTATAATTGAGCACCAATAAAAAAAATATTTCATTGTAACGTGCTTTCAGTTTGAGAATGCTATTGTGCAGCACCTAAAGACAACATTGCAGAGTTGTCCAATTGGAATTCAAACCCATCAATTTAAACATTGTGTTATTTCAGCAGAGTAGTGCGCTCGTGTTCCAATACATTGCTGTGGAATGATGGATGTGGATTTGTATTTACAATTGCTCAGAGCTCCATGAGCCCCTGATCTCAACCATCAGAAGTAGTATACAGGCTATAAGGATACATCGCTTGATGTATTCTGCATATATAAATATGACTTGAAATGAACATGTCCCAAACGTCCTCTACAAAATGTATGATAAGACTTCAGTGACATTTCCTTTTCCCTTTTTCCTCTTTCCTACATTTAATAATATATATGCCAACTTCTACTTCTCTACAAGTTATCTGTCAATATTGTAAATAAACACACACTGCAAGTTTTACAAGAAAAGCCCCCTCCCCCAACATCCTCAACACCCCAACTGCCATCAGTTATTTTAATTCCAGAGAGTTGACAAAGGTGCTCACACACAAACAAACAGAGTGCCCACATCTAACTTATCTCTCCTGTAACCAGAAATGGGACCATCATCCATCCAAGAGATGTGTACAAGGACTGATCTTTGTGTGTGGGTACACAAAATACTTCTGATACAGTCCATGCTTCGTTTTTGTCACAATTGAAGCTGTTAAAACTCTTTCGCCCTTGCGTGTCCAAAAAAAAACATTCGCACAAGGTATGTGATTCATCTCATTGATTACCTTCATTCCTTACTATTCCAATTATTTCCCATCTTATAAGAGAACATTGGTGGTCCAGGTGAAAGCTGGATGCACCGAGAACCAGCAACAATATAGGGATATCCCTGTGCATGTTAACATCTACCAATAGAGGACATTATCTATCTTTTTGACCAGGTGGCAGTGGGTGGAGGGAGGGGGGTTTAATTCACAATGACTAACCACCTGCAGCTCTTAGAAAACCAGTAAATGTACAGGCCTTGAACCTACAGAGGGATTTTTCCAATTATAAACTCACATCATTAAAATCTGCAAATTTAGGCTTCAGGGAATCACCCCTCTAATTATGTTAGCCCATGAGAGCGAGAATACTCATTTTAATGTCTGCAATGCCAATTATATATAAAAATAGCAAATGTGAGAGATAAGGAAACACAAGATTCAAAAGTGCTTGCTTATATATTTTCATCGCAGCCTTTTAAATAGACTTTTAAACAAAATTCTTCAGGTAAAACACACAGTAAGTTCACTCACATTCAGGTTGTGAGGTGAGGTGTTTCATTCCATAGTTCGGGTCCCTTCAGTACCTTTAACCTGAGTAAATGAGTGTTATGGAACAAGCTTAGAGAGATCCTGCTGGCAGATGTGTTAGTTTCCTGCATGCCAGCAGCCCTATCAGTGGCTGGTAGTTTGGAATATCAAAGCAATAGTAAGCCAACCTTCTGGAATTTTACCATATTTTGTTTTTGGAACTAAGTGGGGAAATTAATTCCTACAACAACAATTTACATTTATACAGTGCTCAGGATCATGTCAGGAACACGTCGCAAAGAGTTTCACACAGTTACAATCACAAAATTTAGGAACAAATTAACATATCTTCAGAACAATAATGATAAATTTTTTGAACAGAATTACTGTCTTGTTTTAATCATAATTCAACATAATAATAAATAATATTAATCCATGCATTTGATATAACACAATATCTATGTTAGCCCATGAGAGTGAGAATACTCAAGACATCTCGAAGTGCTTCATAGGATATCCTGTAAAGTGGTGTAACTGTGTGTATTTTGTAGGCAAATACGACAGCCAATTTGCATATAGCAGTGTCCCACAAAGAGCCATGGAGTGAGATAAACATAAGAGCAGCATTTCATACAATTCTAATTAAAACGGAAAATCACACCCTGAAAGGTTTTTTTTAGAAATTGAAGCCAGATCCTCAGTAAGTTAAATATGTCACTTGACATTGTTTGGGCTGCCAGTGCCAAGTACTGGTTTGATTGTAAACACTGTATGGACACATTATTACAGCCAGATTTGGATATCAGCGATGGCTTTATTTATCTGATTGCTATCTCACAAACAATGGTAATCATGTACAAATCACGGGTTCTGTGCTGCAGCTTGAATAATTATTAAAGAAATGGGCCAGGTTCAAGCATACAAACATGCATCCGATTCATCTAACATGGAAAGTAGGAGGAAATTACATACAGGAATAATATTTAGATTTTTATGTATGATATCAATGAACACATCTGTTGTTAACCGCAGTCCACTCCAGCTATTCGTGTGCCCATCCATGTACAGTACTATTTTTCAAAAGCCCAAACTCACATTCATTGTTATCAGGGCCGCTACATTAAAGGCTGATCAGCAAGAGAAAGGACATCATTTTGCAGTCCGTATCCTCAGACTCCTGTAAGAGGGTTGTCGAATGTGGAAGTCTGATGGCAAATGACTGTTGGTGTTGAGTCATTTAACAGCATTTGATAGGGAATTCAATAAATACTTGAGCAAAGATAATAATAAAAGATGTGGAGGAAAGCACAGGTTAATGGGATTAGAGAAGATAGCTCTAGTGGTAGGAGGTGGCGTCAGCACAGACAACATGGGCCAAATGGGTTCGACAAGCTCCTTCTGACTGTAACCTTTGTAAGTGTTGACTTTTCAGTTATTCATCTATACACTGCAGTCAGTGGAAATTATAAATAGTGTATCAACTGTAAAGCTGTTTATAATTGTTTAAATATATTCTGTCATTTAAACAAGATTTTTCCCAGTAAATTATATATTTGTAACACAAAAATTGCACTTAAGCGTATATTCCTTAAGCGTATATTTATACCTGCTCAGGATGTAAAAATGGTAGAATTTGTTTAAAGACTTAAGAATGTTCTGTAATATCTCCTTCCCACCCTCATTACCACCAACACACACACACACATACACACACAAAGTTTTCCATTATTGCAAGTATTCAGTGCAATGGGGGTAATTACTGAATAACTAAGGAACTTTCATTGAATCTTGTTCTTTCCTCAGAGTAAACAAGTTGAGCTTCCTCTGATGATGGCTTTTCACAAAACTCAGCAGTGCCATTCTGACCGCAAATGGAAAGTCTGAAAGCATTGTTTCTTTCAATACATTGTAGAGTAATTACATTTAATTCAATCAAGTCTTTACATACAATTAGAATCATTTTTTGAGTGGTGTATTCTTGAATACTTTAGGCAGAAAAATGTTGGCATTTATTTATGAACGGAGAATATAGCAGGTAAAATAAAAAATAAAAAGTAGCAACAAATTAATATAGCTTCCTGTCAATGTGTGTCTTTTTATTTAATAATCAATTGTAATTGTTTATTATTTGTGGGATATTGCTGAGCTGAAATTGACCACTGCAATCACCTACAAGTGCACAAATACTGAATGATACAGTGAATCCTGTGAAGCATTTTGAAATGCTCTCCAAATTTGAAAGGTGCTGAACCAAATGCAAGGATTTTTATTTTGTTGGAGGATATTTCAATATGTTTATTTAACCATTAATGGTGTGATAACCAATATACTATACTGTCCACCTATAAGCAGATTATTGAATTTTAAGGAATTTGTAATAGAAAAGATAGCTATCAGTTTGATATTTTTGGTCAGAAAGTCACTGCTTTGACACTACCAGAAATTCACTGTTTAGAAAGTTAACAATAATTCAATACCTGCACTGAATTTGAGAAAGTGTAACTAATCCATCAGTCAATCACTTAAGGACTCTAAGAATCCAAACATGTTTCCCAATGATCAATAGATAAAAATCTAAATTAAATAAAAATTATTATGTTTGTATTTAAGTAAATTATTTTATATCCGATTAACATAATTGTAGAATGCAGAAAGGTTGGCAATCTCCATCAAAGTAATCAATCAGGACATGATTTTTTTTATTTATCATATTTTTTTCAACAATCCCACAGAAGAACACAAACCGTATTTGATGGAACAGATCAGTTTTAACCTGTTATTAATGCTGTCAGTCACTGAAGGTGCAATTTAGTCACAGTCCAGTTCTTAGCAAACACTGTGAAGTGATTGCCAAATAACATCAGTTTTCAGCTGGGAATCTGAAATTCAACAACAGATAAAGCCTGAATCCTGCCCCATTATAATTCACAGTGCCTTTATTATGTGCCAACTCAAATGGGACAGGTTGTCAAGTGTTAAACACAAGCTATGTAAGCCCATGTAAGCTTGGTAATAAGCGTGCAATTCAGCAGTCATCCGTAATGAGTAAATAAATTAGAGGGGGTCTTGCTCTTGTCAGCTGTCATCTTCCCCACCCTGAGGAACATGCACAGTCTCTTCAGCCCCATGCATAGAACCACAATGGTTCCTAATCACAGTGTGAATATCTTAGCCTTGGCTGTTGGTTAAACAGAAGGGGAACACTCACAACACTACTTATTAAAACAGCTACAGGAGAATGCACGAAAAATTGGCCAAACATTATACTCATAACAAGAACCTAAGAATGTGACTGCAATGTCACTCTCACTGTCAGGGAACAGTGAATCCACAGGTGTTCAAATGCAGAGTTTCCGTATAGCTCTTTAAAACACTGTCTGTTCCCTCTGCATCCACTACATCTGTCATTTATGCATTTTTTTCTTCCCCTATAATTTATCCTCATTCACTGTTGACCTATTAGCTTTGCCTCTTATTTTTCCAGTTTAAGGATAATGGGATATGTAGGTGTGTGTTGTAGAAATAAAACACAG